TTATTCCAAGATCTCACCAACTGTAGATGATGCATCTTGCCTATGTGGAACTCATCTCTCCTCAATTGCGCTGATGGTCCCCAAGAGAGCAAGAGACCCCTGATCTGCATGTAAATGCCCATGGAATAACCCCCTCATCTGTCCTCAGAGATAACGTAGACTTCAAACTTCCAGCAAAGCCACATTGCCTCAAATGAACCATTACCTGGTTAGGAGGAATTTTGCGACAAAGGATAGTAGAGGCTGGTGTGATGGACCGTTCCTTCATGGTGAAACAGACTTTGTAGGAGCTGCCACTTCACAGCAAGGCAGGGGCAGAGGGAGACAGAGGTTTTAAGCACAAGGTTTCACTAACAGGTTGTTACTCACCAGTGTTTGACTTCTGAGAGATTTGCGGAGAGAGGAACAAAGCAAACCAGGCCTGTCCTCTGCTTGGTGAGTAGAGGGGGAAGGTCTGCCACCCCTGGGCATGCACGTCTCCTCTCTTACAGCCCACCATGGATTTTATGGCCTTTCACCCCTCATTGGTCCCCAGAGGTATCTGCAGCACCCTGAGGGGTTGTAGGATCTCACTGGAAGAGCCACATCAGCTCAGAGCTTGATGAGCCTGGGGGATGCCAAGTGTTCAGGGCAGCTCCCCTTTCCTGCCCCTTCATGTGGCTGAGAGCACTGCAGTCTGGACTCCGAGCATCTGCAATGCCCTTACCTGCGTTCACTTGCCTCCTCCTTATCCCTCCAGGTCCTGAGTCAGTCATGGTTGTTTGACTCAGGGTCCCTGTAGGCTCAGCAACCCCAACGTTGCTTTGTGCATGCTCAGCACTGTGTCCATCCCTCAGCATTGCCTCATCTCTTGCTCCCTCTCCTCCAACCTCCCTCTCCACACGTTGTCATCCTGTCCCTCCCCAGCCTTGCTTCCTGTGCAAAGCCAGACAGGTCATTTCACGTGTTGGCAGTGAATGTTGGTCCCATTATGACTGAAATGGTCAGTGGCATCCTGGACACACTATGTCACCTTTGGCGACAGCAGTAATCCAGTGCCAGAGAATCTGTTCCTGCTTAATAGCAGAAAGCTGCAAATGACACTCTCAGCCTCTCCTATGGGCTGCAAAGCCATCACCAGCTAAACTCCCAGGATGATAAAACACCAAATAGAACGGCCTTACTGTGACCAGGGTGGTCACACACTCTGAGTGCCCTTGTATCGTACAGTGCCATGGTACAAGTCCCCAGCTCAAGCCAAATCAACTCAAAACAGTTCCTTTGGGATTTGTTTCTGCCTTCTCCTCCCTAAATGACCCTGTTCTTCTCAACTAGTTGGCCTCTCATACAGCATCCTGCCACTGTCATAAGGGATGTAAGAGATCCTGACTTGTCAACCCTCATCCTCTTCTGTTCTTCCTTGCCACCTTGGTGGGACTCTTCTGGATCCCTCTATTTCTCCTGGCAACACCATCACCTCCCTCCCATGGGAACAGACTCCTCACACTCTTTCCCTGCTCTGCTCTGCCCTGTTCTCCCCCTAACCAGTGCCAGAAACTCTCAGGTTTACAGCACAAACATCTCTAAGCCTGGAGAGATCCCCTCGGACTGCTGCCCCATGTCCCAGGTCTCCTCCTCCTCCACATCCACACTCACACTGTCCCTGCATTCTGTCCCACCTGCTCAGCAGAGTCCTGTGTCCAGGTTTCTCCCTAAGATTTCAAAGCTCTGCTCAGTCTTCATCTCTGATCTTTCTCCATGTCTCCACACATTCAGCCTTAGAAAGGCTTAGAAGGCTTCTCTGATGCCCTTCCCTGGTTTTCTACCTGCCCTTGTCATCTCTGCTCCCCTGCCTCTCCCTTACCCCCACCTCCTTCTCCTGCCAGATGCCCACAGCATCCTGTCCCTCAGCCCTCTCTGTTCCCCTTTCAAATGCTGTAGCTGGCTAATCTCCACCACCCACCAGTTCCAGCTGCTATCACTATGGTGACCCTCAGATCCACTGTGCTGTGCCAGACTTGCCTCTTTCTTCCAAAAAAACCAGCCAGCCCTGGCTGACATTTCCTGGTGGAGGGTCAGCCTTCAGCCCAGTTTTAGCACACTGAGAGCAGAGTTCCTCACCTCACTCCAAAGACTTCCCCCATCCCTCCCACCCAGACGAACCCTCTGTGCTCCATTGCTCTGCACCACCTCGAGCTCAGCTTCCTCCTCCCAGCTACGCCAGAGTCTCACATGGTCTCTACATCACTGCTTCCAGCTAAATCCTTTATATCAATTCCTCAGGCTAAAATATTCACCTGGACTCAGGTATGTTGCCATTTGATTCCTGCTATGCTCTGTTCTCTGGCCTAGCAGCAGCAGCCATGTTAACCAGTGCTTATCACACCAGTTCTGGAAAGATTGCTCCCCTTTTGCCTTGAATGTATCACCTCTTCCTGTGCCCCCCCTGATTCTCCCTCCTTCATCACCAGGAATGAGAACCATTTGTCTTCACTTGGAAAAGCCTTTATAGTTGCCTGCAGCTTTCCTGTAGGTGTCCAAGCCCCCTCTTGACTCCTGTACATGTCAGAAGTGAGGCTTTGAGGTCTTTTGCAGACAAACTTCCCCAGTTGTCCTTCATTCATAGAGTCATAGAATCCCAGAATGGTTTGGGTGGCCAGGGACCTTATGGATCATCCAGTTCCACCCCCCTGCCTTGGGCAGGGACACCTTCCACTAGACCAGGTTGCTTCAAGCCCCATCCAACCTTTGGGTTGAACACTTGCAGGGATGGGGCAGCCACAGCTTCCCTGGGCAACTTGTGCCGGGGCCTCCCAAATATTATAAAATAATTTCTTCCTAAATTTCCTCCTAAATCCAATATCCCTCCTTATCTCACCATCTTTTTCCTCCACATGGGCTTTGCTGGGTTGCTAACTGAAACCACAGCAGGGAAGCATGTCAGCCTGCCAGGGCTGGTCTCCATTCCCCCAGCATTGCACCTGGCTCTGGGCTTCTTAGGACACCAAGGGACTTTTCTGAGGAGCACCCAAACACTCACAGTAAAATCAACAGCAAATAACATCAATTACAACTTCTTCTTCATGTTCTTTCAGCCCCTTGGGGCTGACATAAGGCTCGGGAGGGCTGTGGATGATGGAAAAGGTATTGCCTCTCACAGCCAAAAGATTCCAGGCTGCTTGGTCCCACTACTGGGATCCAGACCCTCCATGCTTTTGGCAGAGCTGGAATGTCCTTTCCCCCTGAGGCAGCTGGATGCCTTTCACTCAGCTACTCACCCAACTCCTGCTCTTTTTGTCCCAGTGCCTCTGGACCCCAGGCTCCACCATTGACAAGTAACCTGCCTAATTGCAATTTAAGAAGAAAAAACATTTTGAAGCTGATAGACTTACAGAGAGGGGGCTTGGAAGCATGCAGGAAGCCTTTGCCCTGCAAAGGGAGCCAGGCACCCTTGGAAGTTGGGAGAGGAAAATGCCAGGGTTGAGAAAGATTTTGGAGGGTGCAGAGAGCACTGTGGGGCTCATTGTTCCTTTCTGCTGGGTCATTTCCCCTTAGGGATGAACTGAATGGTCAATTCTGTATTCAGGACTGGGAAGGCAGCTGCACTTTTGCTGAATCTGCTACAGGAAGGAAAAAAAATCTGTATATTTCTATTTTCCTAGGAGAGTGAAGCCTCTTCCCCAGGAAGCCAGCTCTCCATTTGCAAAAGCACCAGGGCAAAGGGATGGGAAAATACCTGTGATAGCTGCTCCCAGCATTGTGCTCACCCCTCAGTCCAGGCTCTAATGCAGGTGCATGGCAGCTGCAGAGTTATTTTACAGAGACGAGCGGTCCTGTCTCTCTGATCACCTCACTTCCCATGGGACAGCCCTGGTCAGGCATCCCAAAGCAGCAAGGTCTGTGGATTCGCAATTACCTCTGAAACCACCAACACCTGGATCAATACCTGGATCTCCTGAAGCCAGGCTGGGAATCCCTGGCAGAGGGAAGTCCAAGAGCTCTTGCTCTCTGTCCTGCATGGACCCATCTGCTCGGTGTACCTGAAAGGTCATCACCTGCCCCGCACACACCTTGAAGGGCATCCAAATAGAGAGGCTGTTCCCCTAGAAAGGATCCTCAGCAGTCCCTGGGAGGGTAGGCAGGCTGGGCACAGGGAATACCTGCCATCCAGCCAGGAGCAAAGCACCCTGAGATCCAAGAACATGTGAGGAACAAGCATTGCTCTGCAGCCCAGTGCTCACAAGGTCATCTTAGCCCATGACAAGGTCATCCCAGCCCAGGGCAAGGTCACCTCCAGCCCAGGGCAAGGTCATCCCCAGCCCATGGGAAGGAAGACACATGCACCACAGTGACCAAAAACCCTGAGCAGAAGAGGAGCAGCAAGTGAACAGTTGAGCCTAATTTGTACAAGGTTGTAAATGAATTTCACTGTGGCAGATGGTCAGTGGATTATTTTCCAGAGGGTTAAGCAAGACCCAGATTAGGAAAAGCTGAGAAATTTTGATGTGGCGTGCAGGATGTTATCCTGGGGCTCAGGACACTGGGACCCCAGTGCATTAGGGGGGGTCGTGGCTCTGCAAGGGGGTGGAAGAGCCCTGTCTGAGCAAAGTTGGGAGGGTGCAAGGGCAGGTGTGGGGCCAAGCATGCAGACCCTGTGCACCAGGTCGGCAACACCATCAAAAGGTGCCTCCCGAGCTTTCCACGTCCTTAAAGCCAAGGTCCTGGCTGGAGTGGCTGGTGCCCCCCGGCTGGGTCAGCCCTGACTTAGAGGAGCACATTTCAGTTCCGCGGGGGCCCTGCCCCTGCCCTGGCCCTGTGCGGAGCCGTGCCCACCACCCGCAGTCCGCAGCCTTTGGCTTGCCCTTGCCACTCCGGCAGCATTCCTGGGTGCCGAGCTGGAGGTGCTGTGCCGGGCTGGCGCGGGGGGGGGGGTGGGGGGGGGGGTTTGCTGCGCCGGCCCCGCTCCATTCCCTGCCCTGATTTCCTTGTGGAAATCCCAGAGTCTTCTACAGATCCAGCTCTGGTTTTGGGGGCAGCCATCTCCCTCTCCCTCTTTCCTCTTCCCTCCTTCTGCTCTCCTTCCTCCTCCTCTCCCTCCCTCCTCTCCGCACTGTGCTCTCCGGGGGCTCTGGGTACCGCTGCAGCATCGCCAGCCTCCTCCATGCAGGCGGCTGGGGCGCGGGGCGGAAGGGGAGGGCTGCGGGGGCCAAGCTGAATGAATGGGCATCGCCTCGGTGCCGCTGGAGCCTCCGCATAGGGGCGAGGCGGCCGCACCGCGCCGCGGGCAGGGGGGCAGAGGGCCGGCCAGCGGCCGGGGCCGGGGCCAGGGCCGGGCCGGGCCGGGCCGAGCCGAGCCGAGCCGAGCCCCCCGCCCAGCCCGCCGGGGTGCTGCGAGGAGCGGGCGCTGCCCCGCCGCGGGACCCCCACAGCCGGGCCAGGTGAGGAGGGGGCTGCGGCGGGGCCGGAGGCGGCCGGGCCGGGGCGCCGGGAGCGGGGTGGGAGGCGCAGCCCTCGCGGGAGGGCGGTGCGGAGCCGGGCCGGCGCTGGGCGTGCGGGGATGGACGGTGCGGAGCGAAGGTACAGACGATATGGGAAACGGGTTGGACGGTGCGGGATGGAGGGATGGACGGTGCTGGGCGAAGGTCCGGACGGTGCTTGGAAGGGGCTTGGAAGGGACGGTGCGCGTTGGATGGCTGGACGGTGCGGGGAAGGGGTTGGCTGATGGAGGGCTGCGCTGGCTGGTGCGGGAACGGGCAACAAGGAGTTAAGTGGCTGCAGACCAACCGGGCTCAGAGCGCGCGCGCGCGTGTGTGTGTGTGTGTGTGTGTGTGTGTGTGTGTGTGTGTGTGAGAGAGAGAGAGAGAGAGAGATCCCGCACCCCCGGGGGGCGTGGCCCATCCCACCCCACGCGTGTCCATGCGGGGCAGCGGGCGGCCGGGTGCCGGTGCGGGCTGCGGCGTGGCGGGGCCGCGGCTGCGCAGGGGTGCAGGATCCACGGCAGAGCCCGGCCACGCCGCTGCCTCCGTTACCCACAGCACATATATGTGCATGTGCGGGAACCCACGGCCCCGTGCGTGTGTGTGGGACCCGCTGCGGAGCCCGTGTGGGCGGCTGTGTCGGGTGCGGGACCCACCGTGCGCGGCCGGTGTCGGGTGCGGGGCTGAGCGTGGCCCCGTTTCCCCGTGCGTGCCCACCGCATCGAGCCTGTGCGGAGGAGCGGCCCCAGCCCGAGCGTGCGGGTGTGCACGGCCCGCGCCTGCGTGCGCTGTGCTCGGGGGTGCGTGTGCCGCTTGGATATGCGTGTGTGCTGCTGGGGGCTGAGTGGTGCACGCACGCGTGTGCTCCGGTAGGTGATGATGTGTTACCTGCGGGTGTGCGCGCAGTGAGGGGGCGTGGGGGGCTGGGGACGTGCGCCAGGGAACACATAGGGATGTTGGAGGGAGCAGGCACGTGTGGGGAGGGACGTGGGGTCTGTGAGCACACATGTACCCAGGCTGCCTGCTCCCCCCGGGCCCCATCCTGGCTGCACCCCCTGACCATCTCCAGGCAACTGTCCCTATCCCATGAGCAGTCACTGGCAATGAGTACGACCCTGGCCTATGTTTGCCGTGCCCGAAATGTACTCTCCCCTTTTCCTGGGACGGGATGCTTTGCAGTGTGCGGTGCTTGTGGGCAGGCTTGCCCGACCCTCAGTCCATTGCCCGACTCTTCACCCATCTGCCTGACCCGCAGTCCTCTTCCTGATGGATCTCCCACGTAAAGATGCTCTGGGTTGCCCAGGGCCAGCAGGGCTGTGGGGAATGGAGCCAGCAGGGAATGGAGCTGGTCTGCAGCGAGCAGCTGTGCCTGGCAGGGCAGCGCCTGCTGTCCCTGTGGATGTGGCTGGCAGGCTCCCTGCGTGCCCCCCCCGTGCCCCTCTGCAACAAGGGCCCGGATCAGCCCTGGGATGGTGGTTGGATCATTGCATTTGCATTAGACTTTTGGAGGGGCAGACGAATGTCCCCCCCACGTGCCAGTCCCCTCCAGGAGAGAGATGCCACATGACAAAGTCTCCTATGGGCATGACGCACTTAGGAAGCTCCGGTCCGAGATGAGGCCCAGGCAAGAGCAGGGTTTAGAGCCTTGTTGCCATCATTTCCATTGGAGTTTGGCACCATGTGCCTTTGAGGATCATAGCCCTGGTGACCTTCCCAACACCATGCCCCTACCCTGGTGTGTGGCAAGCACCTGTGGCACCGTGAGCAGCCGTGTCCGTGCAGATGTGCAGGGCTGGGCATCTTGGAGCACTTCCTGCAAAATGGACTCCCAGACCCTTGCAAATCCACCTCTGACTGCTTCTTCTCCAAAGAAGCCAAACACAGAGCCAGCTCAGGGGCTTCCTGCAGGAAGTTATCGCCTGGTAGGAGCCGCCAGTCCTGCTCTGGAACGTGGGGCTGCTGCTTATGCCAGCAAGAAGATGAGGCTTTTCCAGCTGTGGGCTTGGCAGATGTGGCTCTGGTCTCTGCAGCAGCTCAGCTTCCTCACTCCTCTCGCTGTCCATGACGCATGGTACAGTTGGAAGCTGCAAGTGGTGAGGAACAGAGCAGCTCCAGGGAAACATGCCACTCTGCAGCAGGAGACTTCTGCACCTTCCTACACCCTTATTCTGGGTGGAATTTCACCCTTGGAGAATCAACATCTGGCAAGCCACAAAAAAATGTAAATCAAATAACCATCAGTAGTAATTGGAGACCAGTTTGGAAATTGGTTTGCTACCTGCATGCCTCCCAGGCAAATTTTCCCTGTTAACCATTGTGCATCTTTGCATGAAAAATGAGGCTTTATTTCCAGCCTGGGTAGCGGCAGCGCAGCAGGATGGGGATGAACACGCCGTGTCCCCTCTAATCTGCCCACAGTCAGGCCTCTCCCAGCGCTGAGCCGCTGCTGCCGCCACAAAAATGGATAGCTCAGGATCCAGATGGCAGCTGCCTCCCTCGCTACCCGCATCATCCCCTCGCCATCCACAGAGGGGGGCAGCCCACAAGGATGTGTCCCTGGGAAGGCTCTGTGCCCCGGCAGCCACCTGTGTCCCAGGTTTCACCACCTGGCTCAGGCCAGAGCCGCCAGCTCATGCCGAGTGCCATCAGCCCCAGGCGAGGCTGTGCCAGGCTGCCAGAAGCTGGGCTGACTCCCATTTGCTTTTTTTTATGGGGTTCAAGGAGCTGACTCGGAGCTTGGCGAGGTTTTTCTTCTCACCATTGTCCAGCCTGGATCCAGGGCTGAGCTGCAGCTGGCTGGGCTCCCTGACCAGCCATGCCAGGGCGAGGGGCAGAGGGTAGCCCCTTGCTGCAGCTGCGCACCCTGGGGCAACACATCTGGTCCCCGGGAGCACAGTGGGGTGACCTGGGTCACCCCAGGCAGGCTGAGCATTGCCCACCTCCATGAGGAAGCTGTTGGAGAGGGGGCTCTGGTCAGACTCACTGAAAGGGAAGGGGCTGCAGGTGATCACAGACCATCACTGCAGTGGTCAGAGTTGTTTTGAGCAGAGAGACTGTTTGATTATTCTTCATTTTGGGGGCGTTTTTAGTTTTATGGAGAGTAAATGGACGTGAAGGTTCTGCTTGAGTCTGTAAGGGAAGCACTTGGCTTGAACTGCTGTTTGAGGTTGTGTCTTGCCAAAAGCTGGTTATGTACAGCAGAGCTTTGCTGAAACAACACTCCTGGGATTTGCACCAACCTTCTGCAGCCTGGGCTTGGCATGTCCAGCTCTCCATGGCATAAATGTGACAGGGTTTTGCAGATGTCTGTATTCCACACTTTGTACCTGCTCACATGTCTGGTCTGGGAGGTCAGTCAGGCTCCTCTGTGGGCAGTGACTTCGGCTACCCCAACCATGCAACTACCTGCAGAAATTCCTGTGGGCTCTGTGTGTGACCTTGTGTTATAGTTTTGGGTGTGCAAGAGAAGATCCTGCTCCTCTTCTTGCTGTAGAGACATTGCAGAGAGAAGGTTCCCACCAGGCTGAGCTCTCCCGTGCTCAAGCAGGCTCCCATGGATGTCAGCCTTTCTTGTGACTGGCTGGTGGGTCTGGATCATTGACTGTCAGGAAATTGGCCTTTCCTGAGAGCTTTCCCCAAATGAAGCCTGGCTTGTTGCAGCTCCTTGCCAAGCTTTCCAGATGCTCGAAGGAAGCGCAGCACAACTTCCAGAGCTGTTATGGTCATCTCATGGCAGAGGGTTGAAACTAGGTGGTATTTAAGGTCCTTTACAACCCAAACCAGTCCATGTTTCTGTGATTCTATGATCTCAGTGGGTTTATGCCCTCTGGTTGTGGGTGGCATGGGGAGGGGGGCAGGTGACAAGCAGCCCCAAACCTACACTCTGCTGTCGGATGGTTTAGATGTCCCCTGGGTCTTGCTTCTGCAGTCTCTGGGGAGTGTGGGCCTTTCTATGCATCCCTTGGGTGACTCTTACATAGAAGGACGCTATTGCCTCAGGCCTCCAGAAACTGTCTTTGGGTTTGATGTCCCCTGATATCTCCTGTGCTGTCCGTAGGGCAGTTGGTGAGGACTCAGAGCAGCTAAGCGCTCTACAGGAGGGACCCAGGAGCTTTCAGGAACGGTGTTGGCACTTGTGCTCAGGAGGAGTGGTAAGACCTGTGATGAAAGTCCCCTTATGTCAAATATTTAATATCCAAATCCCTCAGCCATTTGTCTCGGTGTGTCTCCGTGGGACAGGGACCACCCACAACGTGTCCCTTGGCAGGTGACAACAGGATGGCAGCACCACAGCTCCAGCCATTCCCCTCCCTGCACAGCCTGCAGTGGGGCTGGGGGGCTGGGGGGCTAGAACCCTCTCCCCACCACTTCCCTCTCAGCTGTTGTGGGGTGTTTTCTTCACCCACACTGTCTCAGGGCCTTGGTAGAGGAGCAGGCACTGGAGATGGTTGCTGATTCCTCACTTTGGGTCTCTGGGATGACCCAGCTGATGGCCAGGGATCTGCAGGGAGCAGCTTCCCTCTGTGATGGGGCAGTTGGGAAGAACATGTGGCAAGTGTCCCTGGGGTGTTTTAGAGCATCAGCTTGTGCCCTGAAGAGTCTCTGTTGCTGCCTCCTCTGGTGTGAGACCCCCCTCTGTGCCTGGGGTCCCTATGAGGAGGACATGATGAGTTGGTTGTGTGTCAGCCTGGTTTGGGTCAGACCAAAGTCCTTGGCTGCAGCTGCAGGGACCTTCACAGTTTGCTTTGGGAACATCCTTGGGGTGCCAATGCTTTCTACCATCTTCTTATCCCTATGCTCCCTTGGCTCAGCTCTGTCCCCTCCAGTGTCTCCAGGGCTTGTATAGCTCTTGCCCTGTTCCCATCAACCACAGTCCTCTCCCAACCCATCACTGTCCCCCAGGACTGGGACAGCCCTCCTATGTTCTCCTGTCCATCACCCTCAATTCTCCCGTGGTGGTG